GCCAGTAAGATCATTATGGTGCATAGGTAAGAGATCCTGTTCTGTGAACAGTGGGAGAGGGCTTATCTGGAAGAAGACTTTCAAGTGTAAGAAAGTCAAATGTAGGTTTGTTCAGATAGAATCATCATAGAATTGTGCCACAGAATCGTTTGGGTTGAAGGGATCATAAAGATCATCAGGTTCCTCCCACCCCCACCCCCGCCATGGGCAGGAACACTTTCAGCTAGACCAGGATGCCTTAAGCCCCATCCAGCCTGGCCTTGAACAATTCCAGGGATGGAACATCCACAGCTTCTCTCGGCAACTTGTCCCAGTAACTCAATACACTCATAGAAAAAAAATTTATTCCTAATGTCTAACCTAAATCTACCCACTTTAATTTTAAACCATTACCCCTTGTCCTGCCACTACACTCCCTGATAAAGTCCCTCACAAATTTTCCTGTAGGCCTGCTTTAAGTATTGGAAGACCTCTATAAGATTTTCCTGGAGCCTTCTCTTCTCTAGGCTAAACAGCTCTAACTGTCTCAGGCTCTTTTCATATGGGAGGTGTTCCAAACCTTTGATCATCTTCACGGTTCTCCTCTGGACCTGCTCCAACAGGTCTATGTCCTTCTTGTACTGGAGGGACCCAGGCTGAATGCATCACTCTAAGAGGGGTCTCACAAGATTGGAGTACGGGGGAGAATCACCACCCTCAACCTGCTAGTTACACTTGTTTTGATACAGCCCAGCATGTAACTGGCTTTCTGGGCTGCAAGCAAACATTGCTGGCTCATATTCAGTTTTTCATCCACCAGCAGTCTCAAGTCCTCCTCCACAGGGCTGCTCTCAATCTACTCCTTGTCTAGCCTGTATTCATGTTTAGGATTGACTCTACGCAGGTGCAGAACATTGCACTTGGCCTTGTTGATCTTCATGAGGTTCTCATGGGACCACCTCTGAAGCCTGTAGAGGTTCCTCTGGATCCTGAACTCTCTCCCTCCAATGTGTTGACTGCACTGCTCAGCTTGTGTCGTCTGCAGACTTGCTGAAAGTGCACTCAATCCCACTGTCCATGTCACCGACAAAGATGTTAATTCCGGTGCCAGTGGAGATCCCTGAGAGACACCAGATGCACAGCTTCCGTGCATACGCAAGTCTTCTGTTTTGCTCTACTGACAGCGTTCGTGATTCCCTACCCGTGTTGGAGTGGGGTTTAAGAAAGCGAATGGCTGCGGTTCTTAGGCGCGGACTCAGGGTGTCACTGTTGGCCAACACGGGGAAGCCGCTCCACCGCTGGCGCCTCCCCGGCTCTGGCGCCGACGCAAAGCCGCTCCGCACGGAGCAGAACAGAGAGAAGCAGGACGACCCTGCCCGGCTCCAGCTAGTCCTCCGACCGGCAGTAAGGATTTCATGTATTTGCTTTTCTCTAGCATTGATTCAGCTGCTTGGCAAGCATATTTTCAAGTCTTCTGCAGACTTCAGCAAAGCGAAGAATGGAGATCCGACTGACAGCCGGGAGCCGGGGAGCCGCCAGGCGGGTCGTGCTGTTGGTCGCGCTGTTGGCCGTGCTGCTGCCGCTGTGTTGCTGGGCGGCGCCGGAGCGGCTCCGCTACGCGATCCCCGAGGAGCTGAGCAGGGGATCGCTGGTAGGGCCGCTGGCGCGGGACGTGGGGCTGAACCCGGCCGAGCTGCCGATACGCCAGTTGCGGATTGTCTCCGGTGATGAAAAGCAATACTTCTCCCTGGGGGCAGATAATGGAAACTTGCTTGTAAACGAGAGGATAGACCGAGAGGACATCTGCGGGGACGTGTCGCCTTGTGTCCTAAGTTTGGAAGTTGTCGTGGAAAACCCTTTCAATATATATCATGTGAGCGTTGCTATTCATGATATCAATGACAATGCACCGCACTTTGACAGAGAATTTGTTGCCATAGAAATGATCGAGTCCACTCCTCCCGGGACCAGGTTCCCCCTGGACAGTTGCAGAGACCCCGACATTGGGGCGAACTCACTGAAAAACTACCAACTTACCCCCAGTCCGCTCTTCTCCCTTGTAGTGAAGGAGAGTCCCGACGGAAGAAAACACGCGGAATTGCTACTGGAGAAAAACTTAGATCGAGAAAAAGAGAGAAATCACCATTTGATACTGACGGCGGTGGATGGTGGGAATCCAGTCCGATCTGGGACAGCCCAGATTAAGATTGATGTGATCGATGCAAATGACAATCCGCCATTATTCACCAAAGAGATCTACAAGATTCGACTCCTGGAAAACCTGCCAGAGGGCTCCTTAGCTTTTCAGGTGGAAGCCACTGATGGCGACGAAGGTACAAATGCAGACATTACCTATTGCTTCAGTCACATCGCAAACAGTGCTCGTCAGACCTTCAGTCTGGACCCCAGGACAGGGGACGTGAAGATTACTGGTCCCTTAGATTACGAAGACGTGAAATATTATGAAGCAACTGTTGAAGGCAAGGACGGGGGTGGACTGAGTGCGCATGCCAAAGTGCATATAGACATTGTAGATGTGAACGACAATGCTCCAAGCCTTACCCTCCTTCCTATCTTGAACCCGGTACCCGAAGACTCGGTCCCGAGCACAGTTATAGCTGTGATCAATGTTCGTGACAGGGACTCTGGAGATAACGGAGAAGTGACCTGTAATATCGAAGGTGATTTGCCTTTCAGACTAGCAGAATCGTCAGAGAACACCTACAAACTCGTAACTGAAGGTAGCTTAGACAGGGAAAAAATCTCTGCTTACAACATCACAATTACTGCCAGAGACCACGGCAGCCCGGCGCTGTCGAGCCGCGCGGCGCTGGTGCTGGAGGTGTCGGACGTGAACGACAACGCGCCGGTGTTCGAGGAGGCCGCATACAGCGCCTACGTGGCCGAGAACAACGCGGCGGGCGCGCTGATGCTGCGGGTGCACGCGCGGGACGCGGACGCGGGCACCAACGGGCTCGTGAGCTACTGGCTGGAGGGCGACGGCGCGGGCGCGGCGGCACCGTACGTGTCGGTGGAGGCGCGGAGCGGCGCGGTGTACGCGCAGCGCTCCTTCGACTACGAGCAGTGCCGCGAGTTCGCCGTGGCGGTGCGGGCGCAGGACGGCGGGGAGCCGGCGCGCAGCGCTACGGCGACGGTGCACGTCTTCGTGCTGGACCGGAACGACAACGCTCCACGGGTGCTATGGCCAGCGGCGGCGAGCGGGGCAGGGAGCGGCGGCGCGGGCGCGAGTGCGGTGCCGTTCGAGGTGGTGCCGCGCTCGGCCGAGGCCGGCTACCTGGTGGCCAAAATGGTGGCGGTGGACGCGGACGCGGGGCGCAACGCGTGGCTGTCCTACGAGCTGGTGCAGGCGCCAGAACCGGGGCTGTTCCGCGTGGGGCTGCACAGCGGCGAGGTGCGCACGGCGCGGGCTGTGTCGGAGCGGGACGTGTCGAAGCAGCGGCTGGTGGCCGTGGTGAAGGACCACGGGCAGCCGGCGCTGTCAGCCACGGCCACACTGCACGTGGTATTGGCCGAAAGCTTGCAGGAGGCGCTGCCGGAGCTGAGCGAGCAGCCGGCAGTAGCCGCCTCGCCGGCGGAGCTGCAATTCTCCTTGGTGCTTGCGTTGGCGCTGATCTCCGCCTTGTTCCTGCTGAGCGTAGCGCTGGCCGTTCTGTCGCGGCTGCGCCGGGCCGGGCCTCCGGCCGTCCTGCGCTGCTTGGACGCGCAGCGCTTCTCGTCGGCCGGCCCTGCGGTGCCGGCCGACTTCTGCGAGGGCACCTTACCCTCCTCCTACAACCTGCGCGTGGCTCCGGGCCGCGCCGTCACCGAGAGCGCGTGGCTGCTGCCTCCCGCCTGGCTACACAGCCTGGCCACCGAGGACCTTCTGAGCGGGGAGCCCTCCGGGAAGCCGAGCCCGAGTAGCAGCGCCGGCCCAGGACAACCGTCCGACGACCCCGGCGCACCACAGGTCTGTAAGGCTATTGCATCTTCTGAACCTTTGTTAACTTCACGTGAATGTACTCGTTTTTGATCTTTCAGATTTTCTGTTATCTATTTTGAACAGCTGATCTGCGTTTAACTGACAGAGAGAAAAATTGCCCCCTTTTTAAACAGCCAGCAGTTAGTTCTCTTCTTAGTTCATCAGTGATTACAGTGGCAGGCTAAGTGGAGACGTACTGGCCATTAAGCTTGTCCTATACAAAGTAATACACATCTGTAACAGTGATTGTGGCGCATGACATGATATAAAGAGATCTACTGATGGTGCATGTCAACACTGGAGAATGTGATTGACGTTTTGTTCTGCAGAATTATTTTTCTCAATTCTTCTTCCAAAAAAAAAAAAAAAAGACGTTCTTGGATCTAATCGATAGTGTTGGTGTTTGTTGTTCGGTACTGGATCATCTTGGATAAGTTGGGGATGCTTGTGTTCAAAGCTTGACTGGAGTGAAGGGGTTGTGCTTGATCTTTGAGGGAAGAGCAGGTCAATGTGTGTGGACAGCTGGTAGATAGTGCTGCTGGCTTCAGGAACCTCGGGGGATATCTGTAAACTTCAAGTCTTATTTCTATGTTTAGCTGTACAGATGTTCGTGTCTTCATCGAAACGTATGTAGAGATGCATATTTCCAACGTTTGTCCCATTCCCGAGTGCCTACCCTGTCCCTAGAGATGTGTCACCTTCTTTGAACCTCTGCTTTTGTTCTCTCGTTCTCGAACAGTGCTATAATGACTTATTTCGTGTAAACGCCACGACAAACGAAGTACTACTTTACCTTCATACCTCCTCCTCTCTGTCTACCAGGATTGTTTCGTTAAAGCTCTGCATGGCACCTCCAGCAGAAAGATTACAATTAGTTGGTAAGGTAAGGTGTTAGGATGTCTTATGTAACCTAGCAGAATGTGCAAGAAAATTAACTGATGACAAGACTTTGTCATAGTAGATATACAAGTAATAGATAATCCCAGTAAACTCTAATAGGACAACCTATCTTGAGGCATCCTGGCTGGCAATTACGTATGCAGCCAGTCCGCAAACTATGACACAAATAGGAATACGCTGGAAAACAAAACAAAACAAAACAAAAACGCAAAAAAGAGGCGGTCTCACCCTTGCAGTACCGGGCGACGGCTGCGGGCGCCGCTGTTCACCACGCAGGAGAGGAAGGAGCGGAGCGCTGTAGCCAGCCCCGCCCGCTGCGGCCCGGCTCGCTCGGATCGTTCGCTCGCTGTCTCAGCGGCCGGGCGGGCTGCGAGCAGCCCCGCGGTACGGAGTCGTGCTGCAACGAGGCGGAGGAGCCAGCGAGAGGGGGAGGCGGAGGAGCGGGAAGCAGGGGAAGGGAACTAAAGCGGGAGCAACAGTCTGAGTTCGGAGCCGGAGGCGAAGAGTCGGAGCTGCGGCGGGAAGCTATCTGCGGGCGTCCAGTTGCGGCGGGGACGTGGCGGAGATGGGCGCAGCGAGAAAAGGGCTGCTGGGGCCGGAGGCAGCGAGCGCTGCTGTGCTGCGTGTTGGTGGCGACGTGGGAGGCGGCGTGGGGCAGCTGCGTTACTCGGTGCCCGAGGAGCTGCCTAAGGGCTCTTTCGTGGGCGACGTGGCCAAGGACCTGGCGCTGCAGCCGGCGAAGCTCCGCGACCGCGGCGCCCGCATCCTGGACCGAGGTAGGACGCGGTATTTCGCTCTGCATGCGAACAGCGGCCACCTGGTGACGGCAGAGAGGCTAGATAGAGAGCAGCTGTGCCGGCTAGTGGAGCGATGCGTGCTGCACTGCGAGGTGATCGTGGAGGGCGAGATGAAAGTTTACAGGATCGAAGTGGAAATCACGGACATTAACGACAACGCCCCCAGCTTCCGCAACGCAGAAAATGAACTGACAGTGAACGAGATGGCAGCACCCGGGTCCCACTTTCCCTTGTCTAAAGCTCGTGACCCAGACGTGGGAGTGAATTCCCTGCAGAGCTACGAGCTGAGCGGCGACGAGCACTTTTCGCTGTCCGTGCAGGCGGGAGCCGACGGCGAGAAGCGTCCCGAGCTGGTGCTGGCCAAGGCGCTGGACCGGGAGGAGGCGGCGTTTCACGAGCTTGTGCTGAGGGCGATCGACGGCGGCGAGCCGGCACGGACGGGCACGGCGCGCATCCGCGTGTCTGTGCTGGACGCCAACGACAACGCGCCCGTGTTCAGCCAGGCGGTATACGCGGTGCACGTCCCCGAGGACGTGCCCGTGGGCTCCACGCTCGTTACTCTCACGGCCACCGACGTGGACGAGGGAATCAACGGCGATGTGAAATACTCGCTTAAGACAGCGACGGACGTAGCATCGGAAACCTTCCACCTGGATCACGAGACAGGATCGATCATGCTGGTGAGGAGCCTGGACTTCGAGGAAGACGATTCCTATCATCTGGAGGCGCAGGCACAAGACGGCGGTGGCCTTTTCGACACGGCTACGGTCTCGATCTCGGTGACCGACGTGAACGACAACGCGCCCGAGCTGACTGTGTCGTCGGCGCTGAGCGAGATCTCGGAGGACGCGCCGCCGGGGACGGTGGTGGCCCTGCTGCACGTGCAGGACCGCGACTCGGGCGCCAACGGCGAGGTGCGGTGCACCATCGCGGAAAATGTCCCGTTCCGCCTGGAGCTGGAGCTGGACAATTACTACTGCGTGGTGACGGCGCGGGAGCTGGACCGGGAGGAGGTGTCGGAGTACAACGTGACGGTGTGGGCGTCGGACGGCGGGTCGCCGTCGCTGCGGAGCAGCGCGGTGCTGGCGCTGCGCGTGCTGGACGTGAACGACAACGCGCCGGTGTTCGCGGAGGCGCGCTACAGCGCCCGTCTGCCCGAGAACAACGCCGAGGGCGCGCTGGTGCTGACGGTGCGGGCGTGGGACGCGGACTGGGGGCAGAACGCGCGCGTGCGCTACCGGCTGGCGGAGGGGCGCGTGCGGGGCGCGCCGCTGTCGTCCTACGTGTCGGTGCAGGCGGAGACGGGCGCGCTGTACGCGCTGCGCTCGTTCGACTACGAGGAGGTGCGCGAGGTGGGGCTGTGGGTGCGGGCGGAGGACGGCGGCGCGCCGGCGCTGAGCAGCAACGTGTCAGTGCGGCTGCTGATCGTGGACGAGAACGACAACGCGCCGCAGGTGCTGTACCCGCCGTCGTCGGCGGCGGCGGCGGGCGCGGGCTGGACGGGCGTGGAGCTGGCGCCGCGCTCGGCGGAGCCCGGCGCGCTGGTGGCCAAGGTGGTGGCGGTGGACGCGGACGCGGGGCAGAACGCGTGGCTGTCCTACGAGCTGGCCAAGGCGACGGAGCCGGGGCTGTTCCGCGTGGGGCTGCACAGCGGCGAGGTGCGCACGGCGCGCTCGCCGCTGGCCCGCGACGCGCCCAGGCACAGCCTGGTGGTGGTGGTGAAGGACCAGGGCCGGCCGGCGCTGTCGGCCACGGCCACGCTGACGGTGGTGCTGGCCGAGAGCGTGGCCGAGCTGCTGTCGGAGCTGGGCAGCGCGGCGGCGCCGGCCGAGCCCGGCGGCAGCCTGACGCGCTGGCTGGTGCTGGCCGTGGCGGCCGTGTCGTGCCTCTTCGTCGCCTTCCTGCTGCTGCTGCTGGCGCTGCGCCTGCGGCGCTGGCGCCGCTCGCAGCTGCTGCCGCCGGCCAGCGGCGCCTTGCGCGGCGTGCCGGCCTCGCACTTCGTGGGCATCGACGGCGTCCGCGCCTTCCTGCACTCCTACTCGCACGAGGTGTCGCTCACGGCCGACTCGCGCAAGAGCCAGCGGCGCTGGGCGGCCGACAGCTGCTGCAACACGCTCCCGGCGCGGCCGCCGCCCGACAAGGCCGCGCCGCTGCTCGGGGAAGACGCTGCCGGCGCCCGCGGCGCCCCGCCCGACGCCCTCCCGGTGAGTCAGTCGCTCCGGACACCCCGACGCCCTCCGTCTCGGCGCTTGCCTCCCTCCCTGCTCCTTGCCTTTCCCTTCCAGCTCTCCTTTTTGGCTGCGGAGGTCTGCTTCCGGGCAAGGCACAGGTTCATTTGGTAGTGGTTTGTGAGTGGCTGCTCCTCACACAGAAGGATCCAAGATTGGTCTCTGCTGCCAGCATTACACTTTATGCAGAAGTTGGTAGTTGAATGGTGGCTTTTGCCTTCAGCTCTTCTCTAGTTGGGCTTCTATGTGTTTTCTGCCATGCCAGGTGGTTGCTCCTTTCAACCCCTGGCATGTATCATGCATGTTTTCCTTTTGTTTTTACCTATTCTGATTATATCTACACTTGAGAGTATCAGGTGGGTAAGTTGTATCATCCTCATTCCCATGTGCTTGATCAGTAGTCTGAGGTTGTCTTTAAGGAGAATCTTAATGGTGTCATGTTTGAATTGGCTGCCTCTCCTCTATCATCTATTTTGTCTTTGTGCTACTGGATGAGCATGTGTTGAAATGTCTTTCAAGTGTCGATCTATACTGCTGTTTTTGTGTATGGGTTGGGATAATGGCCTTGTTCACTGGTGATCCTTTCAGGACATCTGTTTGGCTGATAAAATGATGAACAGGAATCATAAAATTTGCATTTGAGATTTCATAGAGGTGCTGTGTGTGAAAGGCTGTTGGAGGAAAGAGGAGGGTGAGCATTGACTTCTGAAGAAAGGAGAAGGCTTTTCTATGAAGCATATGGTATGGCAACAGCTTTGTTGTGGCTTCTTCACTTGAATTTGTGTTGCGTAATATTTGGTGTGATTGAGGAATGGGTTCCTGAGAGTGAAGTGTATTTCTTTTCCTGTATTTTTAGCAGTTTTGCCTTGTTTGTTGTCAGTGTAAAAAGTAGGCCTCAGTGTGTCAGGGAATCCTGGAAAGACTGGAAGATCTGTTATTAATTTCTGGAATGGGGGAGCTGTTTGCATACACTTTGAAAGTTTACTGCTCTGAGGTGAAAGGCTTTGATTCCTTATGTTTCCTTAATATTCAATTGAATGATAAGCCCTTATTAGTTGCTGTCATACAGTTAGAAGCTGGTTATTGAGAGTAGTGCAACTGAATGCTGTTAATGTAGAGGAATGAGACTGAAATCTTAGTTCTGAATTTGAGAAGAAGGGTGTCAGTGGTGATATTGTTTGGGCAGTGGTATGACCTAATTGCGAATGGCAAATTCTGTAGCATATATTAAGTTTGATTTCATAGTTTTGAGAATGCCTGCAGCATTTTTGCACCATTGGATCCTGGTTTTGCTGTCCTGAAAGGCAATGCTAATCTTCTGATGCTAAAATGTTCTGTGCAGGATCTGTGTATGTAGAGCCATGATGTCTGTGTATAATGGCTTCTACTATCTCTGAAAATCCTCATTAATCCACCAGTATCTGCATTAGGGTATTGTGTTTCTTCCTAGTTGTAATTCCTTTTTCAGGCCTTTGTTTGCAGTAAGGCTGTGCTTCATATTTCCCATTTTTGAAGTGTTTTTTCATTTGAAAATGCCAAATTAGTATTGCAGCAATATTCCCTTGAGAAGCTCCTATCATCCATCTGGTGGCAAATTCTAGCGTATAAGGGAAACAAGTTGCTCACAAGACATATCATGAGAAATGGCCCTATAGTAAATCATTTACACTTCTAGTTTGATTTTCATTTGAGATAATAAACCGATGTGATGGAAAAACTGATGATAGCTGATTAATTTTTCTTACTATGATGTCCCCTACTGTATAGTCCAGAGGAAGATTTAACCCCTTCTGACATGTTTGCCACTCCTCCCAATTTTGTATCATCACTGTACTTGCTGATAGTGGATACAATTCCCTCATCAAGGTCATTGATGAAGCAGTTGAACAAGACCACACCGAGCCCCAACCCCTGGGGAACACCGCTAGTCACAGGTTGAGCCGAGAAATGTCTTTGTATGCATCTGTGCTGCTGTTTCAGTGTGCATGGTGGAATAAAGGTCTAGGTAACGGGTCCTTCTAGGCTTCATCGTTTGGATTTGTGCTGCATAACATTTGGATAGGTTTAAAAATGTTGCATGAAGTGTGAGACTGGATTCTGCTTTTTTCTTGTTCCATTTCTGTCCTTTCCACATTTTTGCCATGTTTGTTGTCAGTGACAAAATGCTGGAGGACCCTGCAAAGATTGGAAGATCTGTTATGACTTGTTGGACTGGAGAAGCGGTTTCCATTCAAAGTGTGACTATTTAGTACTGTCAGGACAGTCTTTAATATCCTCATGTTTCCTTAAAATGTCACTAGATGGAATGCTCTTGCCAGTGGCCTACATATGGCTTGAACTTGGATGTTGTGAGTGGTGCAACTGAATGTTGTGAATGCAGAGCAAAGATGGTGAGAGAGTTTTTTGGTTTTGTTTGTTTTGTTTGTTTGTTTGGTTGGTTTGGTTTGGTTTATTTTTTTAATGTGGAAAATAAGTGGTTCGGTATCATTCAAAGGTTTGACTTCCTAATTTGTGCCAATTACTGCAGCATTTATGCACCATTTTATCCTGGTTTTCTTGCCTGGAAATTCTCTGGTAATAAAATGCTTTGCAGAAAAACTGTATATGTGGTGTGATGATGCCTGCGTATTATGGCTTATAATGTGAGAATCCTCATTACTTCACTTCTATTTATTGTAACTTTGTGCCAAAGAGTTTCTTCATGGCTATAATTCCATTTTCAGGTCTTTGTTCCCAGGAAGGTTGTGCTTCGTATTTTCCATTTCTGGATAGGCTTTTATATTTGCAAATGCAACACTTGAATTGCGGCAAATCCTTATCTCCTTTGAGAAGGTCCCGTCAGCCACCGGGAGATAAAATTTTGTGTATAATGGGAAGAAACAGAAGCTCAATTGTTTTAGTAGAAGAGGCAAGTCTCTGTGGAACAGTGATTACACTTGAAAGCAGAGGGACATTTCCTTACTGCTGTATTTACAAAGACCCAGTCTTTGTTGCAGAAAGAATCCTCTCTGTCCCTTATCTCTTTAGGAGGCTTTAGAAACTTGCAGAGAACTGTACCTCCTTTCTTGGTGTGCTTTGAAGGTGTGCTTTTTCTTGGTGCTTGAGATTGGGAAAAGGTTTGTTGAACTTTTCCTTTGGTGAAATCTGCTTGCAAATTCTGGTGGTGAAAGAAAAGCATTGAAGTTGATTTGACATGTTGGGGGAATTTGATTTGACATGTTGGGGGAATTTTGTGTGAGAAGTTGTAGAAGGGCTGGTGGTCCTTTCTCTGCTTGTTTTAGTTATTCCATTCCCCACAAAGCTGTGGTTTATGCTCTTTGAAGTCTGTCTGCTCAATAGATTTTGCCTGAGAAATGTTATTGAGGTTTTTGGGATCTTTGGGACAGCTTTCTTGAGAATTCATCCCCTACTCTCTACCTTATGTGGTCCACTGCTATGAATACTGAAAAATATCTAAATATAAAAAATATAAATGTGTATAAACTAGATGCATAACATTTATTTTCTTCACAATATTAGTTCATATTAATGTAGTGGAAAAAATTGTCTTTAGAGCTGTCGATTGTATAGTCTGTGCACGTTGTGAAGAAGTGGGCTGGGCAATTGGTCTTTTAATGAAGTCCTTCTGCCTGTTATGAATAGGGAAGAAAAACATAACAGCTGGGAGTAGTTTCAGAATTGTGTTCTCTTGGTGGAAAGAGGATCCTTTGAACCCTGACCTCTCAAGAATGGTGCTGGAAGTGGCTTTGCTAGCAGACGTGTTCTACAAGAGCTGTATTCATAGAATCCTGGAATCCTTTAGGTTGGAAAAGAGCTCTTAGATCATCTAGCCCATCATTTACCCTAGCACTGCCATGTCTACCATTAAACCACGTCACTAAGCTCTCCATCTACACACCTCTGAAGACCTCCAATATTGGCAATTCAACTATATCGATGGGCAGCCTTGGTGAATACTTCACAATAATTTCAGTGAAACACGTTTTCCTAATATCCAATGTAAACCTCCACTGCAGCAATCTGAGGCCATTTCCTATTGTTTTATCACATGGTTTTTGCAACAGGCTGATTCCCACTTTGCCGGAACCCCCCTTAAGGTAATTGTAGAACATGGTAAGATCTGCCCTGAGCCTCCTTTGCTGTAGACTAAACAGCCCCATCTCCATCAGCCGCTCCTAATGAGACCTGTTCTCTAGACCCTTCAACAGCTCCGTTGCCCTGCTTTGACCTGTTTCAGCACCTCAGTAACCTTCCTGTAGTGAGGGGTCCAAAACTGATCACAGTATTTGAGGTGTAGCCTCACGAGAGCCGAGTACAGAGGGACAATCACTTCCGTAGTCCTGCTGGCCAGACTATTTCTGATACAATTCAGGATACTGTTGGATCTCTTGGCCATACTGCTGGCTCATATTCAGCTGGCTACTGACCAATACTTGGAGGTAGCTTTCAGCCAGCCAGCTTTTGAGCCAGTCTTCTTTCCTCAGTCTGTAGCACTGCATGGGATTGCTGTGACCCAAACAAAGGACCCATCACTTAGCCTTCTGGCCCCATAGACTCGCATATGTCTAAGAAGTTTAGCAGGATGCTGGCTATTTCCTCGTGGATTAAGAGGTCTTCATTCTGCTTCCTGTCCCTATCTACCAGGTAGTCAGGAGATTGGGTACCCAGAGAAAAATAGGTCTTGTTCCTAAAGACTGAGACCAAAAACAAATTAGGGAGATCATCTCTTGTCACTGTGTTTCCCTTCCACATCCCATAATGGATGGAGCTTGTCTTTGGTCCTCCTTTCCTTATTTTTGTATTTATAAAATCATCATTGATGTCTTTAAGACAAATAGCCAGCTTGAGTTCCAGCTGGGCTTTGACCTTTCTAATTTTTACCCCACACAGCCTGAAATATCTCCTGAGTAATGGAAGTACATCCCATGAATTTCATTCTATCTAATGTTGAGGCAGATCAAAAAAAGATCTGTAGAGTGACAGTGAAGTCCTTCATTTGTGCAATTTTCATATTTTTGACTTGTTTGCTGTGAACTGGGCCTGAGTGTGGCAGAGACCCCTAAAAAGACGGGAAGATCTACTAGAAAAGAATTACTTTGATATATCTCTCTTTCAGTAAAGTGTCAGAGAATTATATGCCCTTTTCTTTCTGCTCTTACCAATGGTGAGAAGTGGGATGTTGTCCATGATGCAGATAAAGACTGTGACTGCAGAGTCAAAAGGGTGAGAGGCAGGCTTAGAGCCTGGAAATTAGTTGGATCAGTGCGTCTTTGGCTGGGGAATGCTCTGGTTTCATGTCTGATGCCAAGGGCTATGCCATTTCTGTTCTGATCATGGTGTCCCTGTCCTTAGAGTCAATGATGTTTCCCTGAGAATAAAGTATTTGGCAGAAAGTGTCTATGGAGTAGAGGTCTCTGAGGTGAAAGGGTACAGACTGGAGTCACCACCATGTATGAAGGTGAAGTCAAAGAAGAGCAGAAGGTTACTGTGGGAGCAGATGTTCCATGAAAGCAATAATCCAGGGCTGTAACTGATGCCAAGTACTGATGTAATAACCATTAGCCATGAATGTGAATGCTGACTGTGTAGAATGAGATCCAGTGATTCAGCATGACAGAATGAGGAAAATATGATTGATGCTGAGTTCTCGAGATACTTCATGGTCTTCCTTTGGCGTTGCGGAAACAAACGCACCGGTTCTGGGCCGTGTCGCAGGGGAATGTGCCGAGTCGCCGTGTCCGGGGGGACCGAAGGTTTCCGCGGAAGAGGCAGGGCGGCAGCGCTCGCTGTGAGCTGTTCGTGCAGTGCCGGGCGGAGGCTCCGGGCGCCGCTGTTCACCACGGAGGAGAGGAGAGGAAGGAGCGGAGCGCTGCAGCCAGCCCCGCCCGCTGCGGCCCGCCTCGCTCGCTCTCTCGCTGTGTCGGCGGCCGCGCGGGATGCGAGCGGCCCCGCGTATCGGAGCCGAGCTACAGAGAGTCGGAGGGGCTGAACAAAGCGGGCGGCGGTGTGGCCTGAGCCGAAGCGGGACGGAAGCGGGAGACGGAGCTAGACCCTGATCCGGAGCAGCAGACGGAGCTGGAGAGGTGGCGGCGGGGCCGTGTCAGAGATGAGTACTGCGACAGAAGGGCGCTGGGGCCGGAGGCAGCAAGCGCTGCTGTGCTGCGTGCTGGTGGCGGCCTGGGAGGCGGCGTGGGGGCAGCTGCGCTACTCGGTGCCCGAGGAGCTGCCCAAGGGCTCTTTCGTGGGCGACGTGGCCAAGGATCTGGCGCTGCAGTTAACGGCGATCCGCGACAGCGGAGCCCGAGTGGTGTCGGCAGATAGGACGCGGTATTTCGCTCTGCATGCGAACAGCGGCCACCTGGTGACGGCGGAGAGGCTAGATAGAGAGCAGCTGTGCCGGCTGGTGGAGCGATGCGTGCTGCACTGCGAGGTGATCGTGGAGGGTGAGATGAAGGTTTACGAGATCGAAGTGGAAATCACGGACATTAACGACAACGCCCCCAGCTTCCGAGAGTCCGAAACAGAACTGAGAATGAGCGAGATGACACCTCCCGGGTCGCGCATTCCGCTGTCCGACGCTCGGGACCCAGACGTGGGAGTTAATTCCCTGCAGAGCTATGAGCTGAGCGACGACGAGCACTTCTCGCTGTCCGTGCAGGCGGGAGCGGACGGCGAGAAGCGTCCCGAGCTGGTGCTGGCCAAGGCGCTGGACCGGGAGGAGGCGGCGTTTCACGAGCTTGTGCTGAGGGCGATCGACGGCGGCGAGCCGGCACGGACGGGCACGGCGCGCATCCGCGTGTCTGTGCTGGACGCCAACGACAACGCGCCCGTGTTCAGCCAGGAGGTGTACGCGGTGCGCGTGCCCGAGGACGTTCGCGTGGGCTCCACCCTGCTCACCCTCTCGGCCACCGATGCCGACGAGGGAATCAACGCGAATGTGAAGTACTCCCTTAAGAAAGCTACAGATCTAGCATCGGAAATTTTCTATGTGGATCCCGAGACAGGAACGATCAGACTGTTGAGGAGCCTGGACTTCGAGGAAGACGATTCCCACGAACTCGGGGTTCAGGCACGGGACAGCGGGGAGCTTTTCGACACGGCTACGGTCTCGATCTCGGTGACTGACGTGAACGATAACGCGCCCGAGATTTCGGTGCGTTCGGCACTAAATGAGATCTCGGAGGACGCGCCGCCGGGGACGGTGGTGGCCCTGCTGCACGTGCAGGACCGCGACTCGGGCGCCAACGGCGAGGTGCGGTGCTCGCTGGTCGGCGACGTGCCGTTCCGTCTGCGGAGTTCGGTGGGCAGCTACTACAGCGTGGTGACGGCGCGGGAGCTGGACCGGGAGGAGGTGTCGGAGTACAACGTGACGGTGTGGGCGTCGGACGGCGGGTCGCCGTCGCTGCGGAGCAGCGCGGTGCTGGTGCTGCGCGTGCTGGACGTGAACGACAACGCGCCGGTGTTCGCGGAGGCGCGCTACAGCGCCCGTCTGCCCGAGAACAACGCCGAGGGCGCGCTGGTGCTGACGGTGCAGGCGTGGGACGCGGACTGGGGGCAGAACGCGCGCGTGCGCTACCGGCTGGCGGAGGGGCGCGTGCGGGGCGCGCCGCTGTCGTCCTACGTGTCGGTGCAGGCGGAGACGGGCGCGCTGTACGCGCTGCGCTCGTTCGACTACGAGGAGGTGCGCGAGGTGGGGCTGTGGGTGCGGGCGGAGGACGGCGGCGCGCCGGCGCTGAGCAGCAACGTGTCGGTGCGGCTGCTGATCGTGGACGAGAACGACAACGCGCCGCAGGTGCTGTACCCGCCGTCGTCGTCGTCGGCGGCGGCGGCGGCGGGCTGGACGGGCGTGGAGCTGGCGCCGCGCTCGGCGGAGCCCGGCGCGCTGGTGGCCAAGGTGGTGGCGGTGGACGCGGACGCGGGGCAGAACGCGTGGCTGTCCTACGAGCTGGCCAAGGCGACGGAGCCGGGGCTGTTCCGCGTGGGGCTGCACAGCGGCGAGGTGCGCACGGCGCGCTCGCCGCTGGCCCGCGACGCGCCCAGGCACAGCCTGGTGGTGGTGGTGAAGGACCAGGGCCGGCCGGCGCTGTCGGCCACGGCCACGCTGACGGTGGTGCTGGCCGAGAGCGTGGCCGAGCTGCTGTCGGAGCTGGGCAGCGCGGCGGCGCCGGCCGAGCCCGGCGGCAGCCTGACGCGCTGGCTGGTGCTGGCCGTGGCGGCCGTGTCGTGCCTCTTCGTCGCCTTCCTGCTGCTGCTGCTGGCGCTGCGCCTGCGGCGCTGGCGCCGCTCGCAGCTGCTGCCGCCGGCCAGCGGCGCCTTGCGCGGCGTGCCGGCCTCGCACTTCGTGGGCATCGACGGCGTCCGCGCCTTCCTGCACTCCTACTCGCACGAGGTGTCGCTCACGGCCGACTCGCGCAAGAGCCAGCGGCGCTGGGCGGCCGACAGCTGCTGCAACACCCTCCCGGCGCGGCCGCCGCCCGACAAGGCCGCGCCGCTGCTCGGGGAAGACGCTGCCGGCGCCCGCGGCGCCCCGCCCGACGCCCTCCCGGTGAGTCAGTCGCTCCGGACACCCCGACGCCCTCCGTCTCGGCGCTTGCCTCCCTTCCTTCTCCTTGCCTTTCCCTCCCCGTTCTCCTTCCCGGCTATGGACGTTAGCTGCTGATGAAGGCACAGCTTCGTTCGGCAGTGTATTGTGAGTGCTTGCCCGTGTCTCAGGGGAGGCAAGTTCGGGCTTTGCTGCCAGCATTATACTTTGTGCTGAGTACAGGATATGAGAGGTGGCTTTTGCATGCATTTTCACTCTGGCTAGGCTTATCTTAGTTTTACACGTGCCATCTAGTTGTTTATTCTGTCCCCTGATGTTTATCACGAAGGATTTCCTTTTTTCCTTCATTTCTCCTTTTTTTTTCTGAATCCTTCTTGTTCTCATTCCTGGGCGGGTAGATTGGTTTCTCAGCAATGCTCAGCTTTGTTGTGCAATGGGTTGTGGATGGCTGCCCCTTGCTCGAGGGAGTGAAGCACAGTCTCTGCTGCCACCGTTATCCTTGGTGTGGGAGGCAGAGATGAGTGGGGCCTTTTACTTGCAACTCTGCTCCAGAGGAACTTTTTTCTCACTTTCCATATGGTTGCTCATTTCTTACACAGTTATGTATCGTGCAGGTTTTCCTTTTTCTGCATCCTGAGTAAGTGTTCACTTTAGGTTATCAATAGTTTAAAATATATCACACCAATAGTCTGTGTGCCTGGTCAGTTGTGTGTGGTTCCCTGCAAACAGAATCTTAATGGCCCCATGTTTCACTTTACTGCTCATGCCATATACTCTACGTAACTTTCGTGTTGCTGCATGAAGATTAATAGAAATGTATTTATATGCATCTGTGCTGCTTTTTTTGTTGTTCATGTGGTGTGATAAGGGCCTAGTCCTTTTAGGAAGTCTGTTTGGTCATTATAGGGATGAAGAATTAGAAAAAGACTTGTGGTTGAGAGGTGTTGTGTGTGAAAGGCTGTTGGAGGAAAAAGGAGCGTGTGAGCGTTGGCTTCTCAAGAAAGAAGCAGGCTTTACTAGCAGGCATGTACTATGACAACAGTTTTGTTGCGGCTTCCTCACTTGAATTTGTGTTGTGTAATATTTGAGTAGGTTATAAAATGTGGTTTGAAGAGTAAGAGTGAAATCCATTTCAGGTCCTGCAGTTTTTGTATTTTTGTCTTGTTTGTTGTCAATGTCAAAAGTAGTCCTCAGTGTGGCTGAGAACCCTCAAAAGACTTGGAGATCTGTTATTAATTGTTGGACTGAGCGAGCTCTTTTCATATATACTTTGAAAGATTACTGTTATGTGATGAAAGGCTTTGATATCCTTATGTTTCCTTAAAACGTCACTTAAAAATAAGCCCTTATCAGTGACTAACATACAATTAGGAGTTGGTTATTGACAGTGGCATAACTGTATGCTGTGAATGTAGTGGACTGAGAATGAGAGGATGGTTATGATGTTTGGAAATAGATGTGTCAGCAGCTAATTTGTTTGGGCACTCCTTTGATTTCATTGTTAATGCCAATTTCTGTAACATCTATTACACTTGATGGCATAATTTTGACAATTCCTGCAGCATTTATGCATGACTTTATACTGGTTTTGCTGTTCTGAAAGGCAATGCTAATCTTCTGATGCTAAAATGTTCTGCACAGAAACTGTGCATGTAGAGCTATGGTATCTAAATATAATGGCTTTTATTACCTGTGAACAGCCTCCTTAATCCACCCATATCTGCATTGTCCTGTAGCATTTTTCCTTAGTTGTAATTACATTTTCAGATCTTTGTTTTCAGGAAGGTTGTGCTTCATATTTCCCATTTATGAGAGGGTTTTTTCATTTGCAAATGCCAAGTTAGTATTGCAGCAAATCCTAATCTCCCTTGAGAAGGTCCTATCAGCCAACTGGAGATAAATTTTTGAGTATAAGGGAAATGAAACAGAAGCTAAGACTGAATATATCCACTAGATCACAAGACTTGTCATGAGAAAAGGCCCCATAGTACAGCCTTTACATGTACAGTTTCATTTTCATTGGAGATGAGCTGGTCACATCATGGAAAAACTGATAAGAGCTGATAAATTTTTCTTAATATGTCCCCTACAGTATAGTCTAGAAGAAGACTTCAGAGCCCTGCATGCAGTTTAAGACCTGAGTAATTTCTTGGTGCTCTAGGGAGGAATTTTCTTGCACACAGGGAAGACCATGCTGCCCTCCTAGTGAGTTTCTCTACCAATCTGTCTCTTTAAATTCTTCCTTTTGTCTTGCTTCTTGTCTTTTTTTTTTTTTTTTCCCTGATCTTTTGACTGGTTGTGTAGGTTTAGTTATCAGTAGCAACATAGCTATCTCGAGGAATGTGTTATGTGTTCATTGGTCTTGCTCATGTAAGCCACTAGCTGGGTATTTCATCAGAGTTGGAGCTTGTGTAGAAGGCCAGATATATGAGGGTGTTCTCATGCATGTTTGTTTCTCGGGATTGAATGTAAATATGATTTTAGTAGGAGAGGCATGTCTGTGTGGAGCAGTGCAAGTTCTTAAAGAAGAGGGACATTCCCTTACAGATATACTAACAATGACCCAGTCTCTGTTGGAGAGCAGCTCCTCTCTGTCTTTTTCCTTATCTCTTGAGTAGTCTTTAGAAAGTTGCAAAGAAATGTAGCTCCCTTCTTGGTATACTTTGATGGTGTGATTGTGCTGTTTTGTGGTATTAGGAAATGGTCTGTAGAACTTGTCCTTTGGTGAAATTTGCTTGCAAATTCTGAGGGTGAAAAAAAAACATCGAAGTTGTGGAAGGTTTGAGGTGTCAGGTTGGGGGAAGTTTGTGTGAGGGTCTTTAGAAGGACAGATGCTCCTTTCTCTGTTATTTCATTCTACACACATCTGTGGTTTACACACTTTGAAGTCTGTGTGCTGATCAGGTTTTGCCTGAGGAACATTACTGAGTTTTTATTTTTTTCACAGTGATTATATTACATCCTGATAATGTGATGAAAAAAATGTCTTTTGATGTGTCCATGGTGTAGTCTTTGTGAATATTTGTGAAGAAATGTGCTGGGTGATTCTTCCTTTAATGATGTGCATGTATGTCCTTTTTGGCTTTCGTGAAGGGGGAAGGCAATCATAACAGTTGGGAGTAGTTTCAAAATGTGTGAAGGTGTCTTGTTGGAAAGAGGAGTCCTTGAACACTGACCTCTCACGAATGGAGCTGGAAATGGCCTTGCTGGCAGACACATGGTACGTCCAACCTTTACTCTAGCAATGCAAAGTCCACCGTTAACCCATGCCACTAAGCTCTACACCTACATGCTTTTTGAAGATCTCCAAGGATGATGACTCAACTACTTCCCTGGGCAGCCTGTTCCAATACTTCACAACCCTTTGAGGAAATACATTTTTCCTAATATCCAACTTAAACCTCCCCTGGTTCAACTTGAGCCTATTTTTGTTCATCTTAACACTTGGTGCTTGGGAAAAGAGGATGATCCCCACTTTTCTGTAGCCCCATTTAAGATAATTGTAGATCATGATACAGTCTGCCCTAAGTCCCCTTTTCTCCAGGCTCAACAACCCCAGGTCCCTCAGATGCTCCTTGTAAGTCTACTTATCTAAACTATTCAAGAGCTCTGTTTACCCTTCTTTGGACATCCTCTAGCACCTCAGTGTCTTTCTTGTAGTGAGGGGCTCAAACATGAAGACAGTATTTGAGGTGTGGCCTCACCAGAGATGTGTACAGCTGGACAATCACTTCCCTAGCCCTGCTGGTTGGAATATTTCTGGTACAAGTCAGGATACTGTTGGCTTTCTTGGACACCCGAGCACATTGCTGGTTCATATTCAGTCGTCTGTCACCCAGTCCTCAGAGGTTCTTTTCAGCCTTGCAGCTTTCCAGACAGTCTTCCCCCAGCCTGTAGTGTTGCATGGGGTTTTTTGAACCCAAGTACAGGACCTGTCATTTAGCCTTGTTGAACCACATACTGCTGGCCTCGGCCCATCAGCCCAACCTATCCAGATCCCTCTGCAGACCCTTCCTACCCTTGAACAGATCAACCCTTATGTCTAACTTAACTTGGTGTCATCTGAAAACGTAGTGAGGATGCACTCAATCCCCTCATGCAAATCTTGATAAAGATACTGAAGAGAACTGGCCCTGATTCTAAGCCCTGGGGACACCAGCCTTCAACTGCTTGCACCTCACCTGTTAGACAGGACTGCTGATAAATGATGGAAAGTGGCTTGGCAAGAATTTCCATCAACTCCCTCAGTACCCTCAAGTGGATCCCTCCTGGTCCCATATACCTGTATATATCTAAATAGTTTTTCAGGTTTGTGACCATTTCCTCATGAATTATGTCTGCTTCATTCTGCTCCCCATGTCTATCTACCAGGTGGTCAGAGGATGGGGTACCCAGAGAAATGTAGGTCTTGCTTCTAAAGACTGAGGCCAAAAAGGCATTAAGGAGATGATCTCTTGTCACCGTGTTTCCCCTCACATCCAATAAAGGGAGGATATTCTCTTCAGTCCTTCTTTTCTTGTTTATGTATTTACAAAATCATGTTTACTGACTTTAAGAGCATTACACAAATTGATCTCCTGTTGGGCTTTGGCCCCTCTAATTTTCTCCCTGCATAGCCTCACAATATCTTTGTAGTCCTCTTGAGTGTTGCAGGTGCATCCCTTGAATTTCATTTTAGATAAATTTAGGGCAGATCAAAAAAGGACGTCTGTAGAGGGACAGCAAAGTCCTTCGCTTGTGTAGTTTTCACATCTTTGCCCCATTTGCTGCTGCTGCCTCAACTGGGGGTCAGTGTGTCAGAGAATCCTAAAAAGACAGGGATATCGGTTAGAATTGTGGGACTCATGGAGCAATTTTTTTGCAGACCTTGAATGTTTTTCCTCCTGTGGAGAGAATTACTGTGATATATTTTCCTTTCGTTAAAAATAGTGTCAATAAAAATGTCAGTGAATTATATTCCCCTGTCTTGTCTGACATAAGATAAGAAGTAGGATGTTGTCCATGTTGCAGATGAAGTCTGTGACTGCAGAGTACAAAGGCTGAGAGGTAGGCTTAGAGCCTGGAAAATAGCTGGGTCAACATGGCTTTGAATGGTGAATACTTTGGTTTCAAATCTTGTGCCAAGGCCTGTGCCATTTCTGCTCTGAACACGGTGTCCCTGTCCTTAGAGGCAATGGTGTTTTCCTGAGAATAAAGTCTTTGGCAAAAAAGTGCCTATAGGGTAAGTGTCAGAACTGAAAGGGTGCAACTGGAGTCATCACTACTTATGAAAGTGAAGACAAAGAAGAACAGAAGGGTGATGTCCTCTGGAAGTGCTGAACTAGAGCTGTAACTCATCCAAAGTACTGTTGTTGTCTTACACCTGCATTTGTGCCTGTGGGCTTGTCTCCCATGAGGGCGTATCCCAACTGAAAAGAAAGGAAAGCAAGTCCAGAATCTAGAAACAAAAAAATAAAAACCAAACCAACTAACCAACCAACAACAACAAACAGAGAGCCATGCTACTGCTTTGCAGGAAAGAAACTATGGGGAAGACAGGCATGATTTCCTACCCATTGCTGCTTTTAAGTGATAGCAGTAGATCCTGAAGCACTGCGTACCTACATTACCTCTGATCCTCCAGTGGGATGCTGGCTACACAAAGGAACATGGTACAAACTGGTGTGGAGTGCTTCAGGCCAATGCCAGCTACCTGTGGGATGTTCTCATCTCCTGGAGGACTGAAAACAGAGGGTCTGCCAGCCTGTATGATGTCCTGTGTTCTATAGTGCTGGCTGTACAATAAGATCTATTAGCCATGAATTTCAATGCTTACGATGTAGAATGAGACCCACTGATTCTGCATGACAGAATCAAGAAAAGATGATTGATGTTTAGTGCTGGAGACATTTCCTGGTCTAACTTTGGCATATTCGCAAATGAATGTACTGGGAAGTGTTTAACAGCTGACGCCAAGAACTGCCCTCATCTTACATCTCTGTATACACTGGTGTGGCCAGATCTTTGCTACCTTCATAGTGAATGCATGGGGTTTTCTTTTTGTGTATGAGAAGACATTATTCTGTAAATTGATTTAAGTGAACAAAAGGAATACCAGGTGTTCAGGTGTTATGGTCTCCAAGATTGCATTATAGTGGGGTAAACTGATCAGTGGCAAGTGCGCAGAGTGGTCTGCTCAGTAACAGTGATGTGGAGTGGGTGCACAGCCTTTTCAGAGAGCTGAGGGAAGCTGCTGGTTCCTTGATGCTGCACTCTTACAGGGGGAACTGTTTCATATCAGTTGCTGACATTGAAACAACAGCACAAATTACAACTGAACATAGATTTTACACGATCATACATACTGTGAAAGCCGAATAAACTTTCAATACAGACAGAAGGCAAGAATAAAGGTTGGAATTCATGAAAGACGTGGTGCTTCTGCAATACTAGGTTGAGTCTAACGACTATTTTAGAGATCGAAATAATATGAATTCTCCTTGCCATGCGGTAGAACGAAGACTACAGAGGATTCCTCCGCCTTCACTCGGCTCATGACCGCTGTGAAAACCACAGTGCATTCGATCCTCTCCTCGAAGGAGAAGGCAAAAACACCGGGGTTGGGCAACGACGCAGGGGAATATGCCGCGGCGCCGTGTTCGCGGGGACCGAAGGTTTCCGCGGAAGAGGCAGGGCGGCGGCGCTCGCTGTGAGCCGTGCGTGCAGTGCCGTGCGGAGGCTGCGGGCGCCGCTGTTCACCACGGAGGAGAGGAGAGGAGAGGAAGGAGCGGAGCGCTGCAGCCAGCCCCGCCCGCTGCGGCCCGGCTCTCTCGCTCGCTGTGTCGGCTTTGCGGACTGCGAGCGGCCCCAGCTCCAAAGAGGCAGATGGGTCGGAGAGAGCGGGAGACGGCGGGACCAGGCACCGGAGAAAGAGCCGGAACGACAGTGTAAGCCGAAGCGAGTGTCCTGGAGCTGGAGACTCGAACCGGAGCGAGAGACTGAGCCAGAGTCGAAGGTCAAGAGTCGGGTCGGCGGCGGTGAGCTATCTGAGGGCGTCCGGTGGCGGCGGGGCCGTGTCGGAGATGTGCGCGGCGAGAGAAGGGCGCTGGGGCCGGAGGCAACGAGCGCTGCTGTGCTGCGTGTTGGTGGCGGCGTGGGAGGCGGTGTGGGGACAGCTGCGCTACTCGGTGCCCGAGGAACTGCCCAAGGGCTCTTTCGTGGGCGATGTGGCCAAGGACCTGGCGCTGCAGCCGGCGACGCTCCGCGACAGCGGCGCTCGCATTCTGGACCGGCGTAGGATGCGGTATTTCGCTCTGCATGCGAACAGCGGCCACCTGATGACGGTGGAGAGGCTAGATAGAGAGCAGCTGTGCCGGCTAGTGGAGCGATGCGTGCTGCGCTGTGAGGTGATCGTGGAGGGTGAGATGAAGGTTTACGAGATCGAAGTGGAAATCACGGACATTAACGACAACGCTCCCAGCTTCCGAGAGTCCGAAATAGAACTGAGAGTGAGCGAGATGACTGCTCCCGGGTCGCGCTTTCCCCTGGCCGAGGCTTACGACCCGGACGTGGGAGTGAATTCCTTGCAGAGCTACGAGCTGAGCGGCGACGAGCACTTTTCGCTGTTCGTGCAGGCGGGAGCAGACGGCGAGAAGCGTCCCGAGCTGGTGCTGGCCAAGGCGCTGGACCGGGAGGAGGCGGCGTTTCACGAGCTGGTGCTGAGGGCGATCGACGGCGGCAAGCCGGCACGGACGGGCACGGCGCGCATCCGCGTGTCTGTGCTGGACGTCAACGACAACGCGCCCATGTTCAGCCAGGCGGTGTACGCGGTGCGCGTGCCCGAGGACGTGCCCGTGGGCTCCACCCTGCTCACCCTCACGGCCACCGACGGAGATGAGGGAATGAACGGTGATGTGAAATACTCACTTAAGAAAGCAACGGACCTAGCATCGGAAATTTTCTACATGGATCCCGAAACAGGATTGATCAGGCTGGTGAGGAGCCTGGACTTCGAGGAAGGAGACTCCTACGAAATGGAAGTGCAGGTACAAGACGGCGGCGGCCTTTCCGACACAGCTACCGTCTCAATCTCGGTGACCGACGTAAATGATAACGAGCCCGAGCTGACTGTGTCGTCGGCGCTGAGCGAGATCTCGGAGGACGCGCCGCCGGGGACGGTGGTGGCCCTGCTGCACGTGCAGGACCGCGACTCGGGCGCCAACGGCGAGGTGCGGTGCTCGCTGGTCGGCGACGTGCCGTTCCGTCTGCGGAGCTCGGTGGGCAGCTACTACAGCGTGGTGACGGCGCGGGAGCTGGACCGGGAGGAGGTGTCGGAGTACAACGTGACGGTGTGGGCGTCGGACGGCGGGTCGCCGTCGCTGCGGAGCAGCGCGGTGCTGGTGCTGCGCGTGCTGGACGTGAACGACAACGCGCCGGTGTTCGCGGAGGCGCGCTACAGCGCCCGTCTGCCCGAGAACAACGCCGAGGGCGCGCTGGTGCTGACGGTGCGGGCGTGGGACGCGGACTGGGGGCAGAACGCGCGCGTGCGCTACCGGCTGGCGGAGGGGCGCGTGCGGGGCGCGCCGCTGTCGTCCTACGTGTCGGTGCAGGCGGAGACGGGCGCGCTGTACGCGCTGCGCTCGTTCGACTACGAGGAGGTGCGCGAGGTGGGGCTGTGGGTGCGGGCGGAGGACGGCGGCGCGCCGGCGCTGAGCAGCAACGTGTCGGTGCGGCTGCTGATCGTGGACGAGAACGACAACGCGCCGCAGGTGCTGTACCCGCCGGCGGCGTCGGCGGCGGGCGCGGGCTGGACGGGCGTGGAGCTGGCGCCGCGCTCGGCGGAGCCCGGCGCGCTGGTGGCCAAGGTGGTGGCGGTGGACGCGGACGCGGGGCAGAACGCGTGGCTGTCCTACGAGCTGGCCAAGGCGACGGAGCCGGGGCTGTTCCGCGTGGGGCTGCACAGCGGCGAGGTGCGCACGGCGCGCTCGCCGCTGGCCCGCGACGCGCCCAGGCACAGCCTGGTGGTGGTGGTGAAGGACCAGGGCCGGCCGGCGCTGTCGGCCACGGCCACGCTGACGGTGGTGCTGGCCGAGAGCGTGGCCGAGCTGCTGTCGGAGCTGGGCAGCGCGGCGGCGCCGGCCGAGCCCGGCGGCAGCCTGACGCGCTGGCTGGTGCTGGCCGTGGCGGCCGTGTCGTGCCTCTTCGTCGCCTTCCTGCTGCTGCTGCTGGCGCTGCGCCTGCGGCGCTGGCGCCGCTCGCAGCTGCTGCCGCCGGCCAGCGGCGCCTTGCGCGGCGTGCCGGCCTCGCACTTCGTGGGCATCGACGGCGTCCGCGCCTTCCTGCACTCCTACTCGCACGAGGTGTCGCTCACGGCCGACTCGCGCAAGAGCCAGCGGCGCTGGGCGGCCGACAGCTCCTGCAACACGCTCCCGGCGCGGCCGCCGCCCGACAAGGCCGCGCCGCTGCTCGGGGAAGACGCTGCCGGCGCCCGCGGCGCCCCGCCCGACGCCCTCCCGGTGAGTCAGTCGCTCCGGACACCCCGACGCCCTCCGTCTCGGCGCTTGCCTCCCTTCCTTCTCCTTGCCTTTCACTCCCTGCTCTCCTTCCCGGCCGGGGAGGTTTGTTGCTGCGCAAGGCACAACTTTATCGGGCAGTGGTTTGTGGGTGACTGTCCGTGGCTCAAGGGAGCTACACAGGGGCTCTGCTGTCAGTGTTACTTTCTGTGGGTGGTAGTGGATGAGACAGGGCTTCCATCTGCAGCTTTGCTCTAGATGGACTTCTAACTTTTTTTCCCCTGCCAGGTGGTTGCTCCTGTCAATCCTCAGCATGTTTCATGCATGTTTTCATTTTTTTTTTTTTTTAACCTATTCTGACTATATGTACACTTGAGATTATCAGTTGGTTAGGGTACAACATCCCTATAGCCCATATGCTTGATCCATAGTGTGAGGCTGTCTTAGAAAGAGTCTTAATGTGACCATATTTCATTTGTCTGCTTTTCGTCTATGCTCTCCTCAGTGTATCTTTTACTGCATGAAGATTTTCTGAGGACAGAAATGTCTGTTTTCCTGTAATGAATATCAGAGAAATAAGCCTGAATGTTCTATTTATGGTATGCTGTGCGTGAAAGTATTTTGGAGGAAAAAGGACTGTTTGAGCATTGACGTCATCAGAATTGAAGAGGCTTTACTAGCAAGCTAATGCTATTGCAACAGTTGTGTCATGTCTTCATTGCTTCAAATTCTGTTTTATAATATTTGTTTAGATTGAGGAATGGAGTGTCAAGACTGAGAGTGAAGTTCTTTTCATGTCCTGCAGCTTTTGCATTATTTCTTTGCTTATTGTCAATGTCAAAAGTAGGCCTCAGTGTGGCAGAGAACCCTGAAAAGACTGGAATATCTGTTATTAATTGTTGAACTGGGGGAGCTGTTTCAATACATAACGTGAATGTTTACTGCCGTGCAGTCAAAGGAATTGATATCCTTATGTTTCCCTAAAATATCCCTGAATGATAAGCCCTTATCAGCGGCCAACATATAGTTAGAAGTTGTTTATTGAGAGTGGTACAACTGAATGCTGTGATTGTAGAGGAAATAGTGTGAGAGGTCTGTTCTGAAGTTGGAAAATAAGTGTGTCAACAGTGATATTTTTTGGGCAGTGGTTTGATTTCATTGTGAATGCCAATTCAACGTGACTCTTTGTGCCTGGCCACCTAGCCAGCTTTTAAATCAACCAAGTGTACACCTGTCCAAGCCGTGAGCAGCCTGTTTCTCTAGGAGAATGCTGTGCAAAAGAGTGTTTAAAAGCCTTGCTGAAGTCAAGGTAGATAAGCTCCTAAGCCTTTCCATCATCCACTGTCATGTCACCTTGTCGTAGAAGGAGATCATGTTCATGAAGGAGGATCTGCCTTTGATAAGCTTATGGTGTCTGGGCCTGATCACCTGGTTCCCCTTCAAGTGCCATGTAATGGCATTCAAGTTAATCTGCTCCAAGAGCTTCCCTGGCATTGAGATCAGACTGACACGCCTGTAGTTCCCTTGATTCACATTTTTGCCTCATTTGCTGCTGCAGTCTCAAGTGTGCTTCATTGTGGCAGAGTATCTTGACTGGAAGATACCTTAGAAATGTCAGGACTATGGAAGCAGTTTCCTTCCAGACCTTGAATGTTTCCAACTGTGGAGAGCATTACTTTGATGTATTTCTCTTTCAATAAAATGTCAGTGAATGATATGCCCTGTTCTTTCTTGTGTGACATATGTCAAGGAGAAGGATGTTGTCCATAGCGCAGATAAAGTGTGTGACTGCGGAATACACAGGCTGAGGCAGGTTTAGAGTTGGGAAAGTTGTTGTGTCGTTGTGGCTTTGAATGGGGAATGTTTTGGTTTCAAATCTTGTGCCAAGGCCTGCACCATTTCTGCTCTGATCGTGCTGTCCCTGTCCTTAGAGGCAATGTTTCTTTGCTGAGAATAAAATATTTGGCCTATGTAAAGTGCCTGTGTAGGACAGGTGTTTGAGATGAAAGGATGCATGTGGAGTCACCACCATGTATGAAGGTGAAGGCAAAGAAGAGCAGAAGGGTGATGTGGGAGCAGGTGTGCCCTGGAAGTGCTGATCTAGAGCTGTAACTGATCCTGAGTATTGTTATAATCTTATGCCTGCAATGTCCATCTGTGTGCTTGTCTCCCATGGAGTTTTGTTCCTTTCCCAGCAAATTCCATTCAGATTTTCTTCAGATACATGGGGAGGTATTTTGTTTAAAACTGAGGTGAAAGAAAAGCAAGATTCAAATCTTCAGCTGTTGCAGTCAGCAAGATGGCTTTTGGAAGGGAAGGAACAGATGAGAGGAGACTGCCCAGATGACAAAGAATGGCAGAAATTGTTTCTATGTCACTTCAGTACAGATGCTCCAGTCTCTGCTTGTCTTAGTTGACCAAAGAAAACTCTCCATGGCCCAAGAAAGAGGTTCTCATGCAGGGGAATGGCAGAAGTCTGGCTTCTAGCAAGGAAGACGAAAGAGTCAGGTGGGCTGTGCAACTTTTGATTCCTTGCGCAGTGCCAAGGTCTGTGGCTGTTTCACTGTGACCCTTTCCTCCATGTTCCTAAAGAGGATAACTATCTTCTTTGCATAGGCCTTCAAACTGGGACCTCTGGATGTCCAAAGGTGCTGCATGAGCATTCAGCTTGAGGTGTCAGTGACTTTCAAGTGCTCTGGGAGATGACTTCTCCAGGAAGAGTTGTGTCTACATAATTCTGACCAATGCTGACTGTGTTCTCAGCTCCAGGAGGACTAGTGACACAAGGCCTGCCTGTCTGCATGATGTCCTGCATTGCATAACGCTTAATGTGCAATAAGAACTATTAGATGAGAATGCTTACTGTTTAGAGTGAGATCCAAAGATTCTGCATGACAGAATCATGAAAATAGATTGATGCTTGGTGATGGAGATATTTCCTTCTTTTTCTTTAGCTTTTTTTTCAAATGAATGTACTTGCACATGTTTGAAAACCAATTGCAAGTACTGACTCATCTTACACGTGTGTACACAGGTATGCACATCTCCCATGGGCACCCTCACAGTGAATGTCATGGGGTTTTCCTCTGGTGAATGGGTAGTTATATTGCTGGAAATCCATTTAAGTAAATGCAACTTAGACAAGAACCTTCAGCTATTCTGTCGTCCAAAAGTGCATTATAGTGGTGTAAAATGATCATTGGTGAGTGCCCAGACTGGTTTTCTCAGTAACAGGGATGTGGAGTGGGAGCACAAACTGTTCAGAGAGCTGAAGGGAGCTGCTAGCTCTTCTCTGCACAGTAGTAGTGAGGAAGCATTTGCTTCTGGAATTCATCTCTGATACCGTGTGGGATGTATCTGGGGAAGTGTTTCATATAGGTTATTGATTTAGAAATGACAATGAAAATTATAAATGAATGTTTGGTTTAGATGTTCGTGATGTGTTGCAAAGATAAGGGAGATTTAATTCAAGAAGGACTGCAAGAACAACCTCTTTACTTCGTGGAACAGTTGTGCTTCTGAAAAATAAGACTACGATTTACTTTGGGGTCAAATTAACACAAATAATTCTACTTGCTATGTGGTATAATGAAGACAGCTAAAGGAACCCTCCACCTTCACTCTGCTCTGAAGACCAGAATGCATTTGATTTTTTAGACTTGTGAGACTTGGGAAGCAGTTACCTTGAAGACTTTGAATGTTTCCAGCTGTGGAGAGAAGTACTTTGAAATATTCCTCTTTCAATAAAATGTCAGTGAATTATATGCCTTTTTTTTTCCCTGTCTGACATATGTCAAGATGTAGTATGTTGTCCATGTTGCAGATAAAGTGTGTGACTACTTCTACACAGGATGAAGCAGTTTTAGAGTCATGAAAATAGTTGAGTCAATGCGGCTTTGAATGGGGAATGCTTTGGTTCTGTACCTGGTGCCAAGGCCTGCACCATTTCTGCTCTGATCGTGCTGTCCCTGTCCTTAAAGGCAATGATGCTTCACTGAGAATAAAATACTTGGCAAAAAGTGCCTATATAGGGCAGGTCTCTGAGGTGAAAGGGTGCATCTGGAGTCACCACCATTTATGAATAAGAAGGCAAAGAATAGCAGAAGGGTAGTATGGAGCAGATATCCCCTTGAAGTGCTGATCTAGAGCTGTAACTGATCCTGAATATTGTTGTCATCTTATGCCTGCATGTGTTTGTCTCCCATGGAGCTTTGTTCCCTTCCCACCAAGTTCAATTCAGGTTTCCTTCAGGTGTATGGGTAGGTATTTTGTTATAGTTTTAAGTGAAATGAAATAAAGATCTGAATCTTCAACTGTTGTAGTCCCCAGGATCACATTTAGAAGGGAAGGAACAGATCAGAGGAGATTCCCCAGATGACAAGGAATGGCAGGAATTGTTTCTGTGTCACTTCAGTACAGACGCTCCTTGGCCCAAGAAAGAGATGCTCAGGCAGAGGAAAGGCAAAGGTCTGGCTTCCAGTGAGGAAGACAGAAGAATCAACTGGGCATTTTCCTGTGCAACGCTTGATTCCTTGCACGGTGCCAAGGTCTGTGCCTGTTTCACTATGACCCTTTTCTCCATGGCTCTAAAGGGGATAAGAATCATCTTCGTATGTCCCTTCCACCAATACTTCTGGATGTCCAAACATACTGCTCGATCATCCAGCTTGAGGTGTCAGTGACTTCCAAGTAGTAAGAGTCATGTCCTCAAAAGTTGTGAAATGTTTGCCTCACATGGTCCATTCGGAGTGTTTTGATTCCTTATATCTATAATCAGAAATAACAAAGAGCGAATACTTACTACATTGCTGGAAGGAAACTCTGTAGAGCACAAGCATGATTTCCTACCCATTGCTGCCTAGAAGTGGTAGCAGAAGGTCCTGAAGCAGTGCATAGCTCGATTATGTGTGATCCTCCAACGGGACGCTGGCTACACAGAGGAACGTGGTACAGAACAGTGTAGAGTGGTACTGGCCAATGCCAGCTAACTGTGGGATGTTTTCAGCTCCAGGAGTACTGGCAAAAGAGGGCCTGCCAGTCTGGTTGATGTCCTGCATTGCATAGGGCTGGATGTGCAATAAGAACTATTAGATGTGAATGCTTACTGTACAGAATGAGATTGACAGATTGTGCATGCCACAATCAAGGAAACATGGTTGATACTTAGTGCTGGAGAATTCTCTTCCTCTTTCTTTGGATTTTTCGCAAATCAATGTACTTATGCGTCTTTCATAATTTATACCAACAGGAGGACATTGTACAACTGCAACACAAGGTTGAGACAAACAACTATTTAGCGTTCAAATTAACACGAATAATTCTACTTGCCATGCGGAAGAAGGAAGACAGAGGAACCTTCTGCCTTCAGTTTGATCACAACCGCCCTGAAGACCAGTATGCATTGGATCTTTTCCCCGAAGAAGAGAAAGTGTTGCGGAAACAAACGCACCGGCTCTGGGCCGTGTCGCAGGGGAATGTGCCGTGGCGCCGTGCCGGAGAGAACGGAAGGTTTCCGCGGAAGAGGCAGGGCTGCAGCTCTCGCTGTGAGCTGTTCGTGCAGTGCCGGGCTGAGGCTGCGGGCGCCGCTGTTCACCACGGAGGAGAGGAGAGGAGAGGAAGGAGCGGAGCGCTGCAGCCAGCCCCGCCCGCTCCGGCCCGGCTCGGTCGCCCACGGCAGCGGCACCGGACGGCTCGCTCGTTCTGTGTCAGAAGCCGGGAGGGCAGCAAGTAACCCCGCCGTGCGGAGCACAGATAAAACGAGGCGGAGGGGTCGGAAGGATCCGTAGGCGGCGGAGGAGCCAGACTCGAAGCGTGACCCGCACCGAGAGCCGGAGTGAGATTCTGATCCGGAGCCAAAGCCAAAGAGCCGGGTGGGCGGCGGGGAGGTATCGGCGGGCGTCCGGTGGCGGCGGGGCCGTGGCGGAGATGTGCGCGAAGAGAGAAGGGCGCTGGGCCCGGAGGCAGCGAGCGCTGCTGTGCTGCGTGTTGGTGGCGGCGTGGGAGGCGGCGTGGGGACAGTTGCGCTACTCGGTGCCCGAGGAGCTGCCCAAGGGCTCCTTCGTGGGCGACGTGGCCAAGGACCTGGCGCTGCAGCTGGCGGCCCTCCATGAACGCGGCACCCGAGTGGTGTCGGCAGATAGGACGCAGTATTTCACTCTGCATGCGAACAGCGGCCACCTGGTGACGGCGGAGAGGCTAGATAGAGAGCTGCTGTGCGAGGGCGTGCAGCGATGCGTGCTGCGCTGTGAGGTGATCGTGGAGGGCGAGATGAAGGTTTACGGGATCGAAGTGGAAATCACGGATATTAACGACAACGCGCCAAGCTTCCGAGAGGCTGAAAAGGAACTGAGAATGAGCGAGATGACTGCTCCCGGGTCCCGGTTTTTCCTCTCTAAGGCTCATGACCCAGACGTGGGAATGAATTCCCTGCAGAGCTACGAGCTGAGCGGCGACGAGCACTTTTCGCTGTCCGTGCAGGCGGGAGCGGACGGCGAGAAGCGTCCCGAGCTGGTGCTGGCCAAGGCGCTGGACCGGGAGGAGGCGGCGTTTCACGAGCTGGTGCTGAGGGCGATCGACGGCGGCGAGCCGGCACGGACGGGCACGGCGCGCATCCGCGTGTCTGTGCTGGACGCCAACGACAACGCGCCCATGTTCAGCCAGGCGGTGTACGCGGTGCGCGTGCCCGAGGACGTGCCCGTGGGCTCCACGCTCCTCACCCTCTCGGCCACCGATGCCGACGAGGGACTCAATGCCAACGTGAAATACTCCTTTAAAGAAATTTCCACGAAGGCTTCGAAGGTACTTTACCTGGATGCCGAGACGGGAACGATCAGGCTGTTGAGGAGCCTGGACTTCGAGGAAGGAGACTCCTACGAAATGGAGGTGCAGGCACACGATGCCGGAGAGCTTTTCGACACGGCTACGGTCTCGATCTCGGTGACCGACGTGAACGACAACGCGCCCGAGATTTCGGTGCGGTCGGCGCTGAGCGAGATCTCGGAGGATGCGCCGCCGGGGACGGTGGTGGCCCTGCTGTACGTGCAGGACCGGGACTCGAGCGCCAACGGCGAGGTGCGGTGCACCATCGCGGAAAATGTCCCGTTCCGCCTGGAGCGGGCGCTGGACAATTACTACAGTGTGGTGACGGCGCGGGAGCTGGACCGG